TAATCAAATTAAATTTATTAAAAATAAACTAAAAAAATATTTTTATGTACCAATCGGCTACATTTTATAAGCTCAGTTTCCCTTTATTATTTTTCCGGAAAAAACTCAAACCAGACACGCTTTAGAAGATTTCCTTCTTGGTGTCATAGGCCACTATAATCAACTTTTGAGTAAAATGCCCCCAATAGCAAGTTACAAAACACAACATAACAAACTAAAATAATGTCTTAGAATTTGTGCCAGGATTGTTATTATCTTAATTTTGCCAGCTTATTTTGCAGCTTGGATTCCACGAAAATAATTGGAGATGGGCAATCCAAACACACACTAAATGTGGATCACAATCATGGGTATAAAACCCTTCGATGTTTTCGCAAAAATTTTTATTAGTTGGTTTTTGTCACGTGAGTCTAAGTTAAGAACTGCTAGATGTAAACAGATGTTAATGCATAATTGACATCAAGGAGTTGTAGTCGTAGTTGCATTTTTTGCCAATCTAAACAAAAAACCCGCATCCCCTTAGCATTGCTAAAATTTTCTTTTAGTTCGGATTAACAATAAAATATCATTTCAAATAATCACAACATTTTTAGATGTGATGTTAGGCCCTTGATGTTGTATGTATAGTTATAAATATAGTATTTTCTAATAATATCAAGTAATATTATCTATAGTACATGATATATGGTATAAGTGGGGGAAGTTTGAAAGATTTAGGGGCTCTTATTTTTCTCGTTACTGCCTGGTTGGTTTGGTATTGGAGGAACATGAAAGTGTTTAGGGCAGCTACAGTATTTGATGTGCAGTTATTTGAGTCTATTCAGGTTAAATCTTTCTTATGGCTTAAAAATAAGGAACCAGGTTGTGTGTTCTCTTACACGGATTGGGTATTGAGGCCTATGGAGTGCGGGAATGCCATTATATTGCACTGCAAAAATTTAAAGAGTGTTAAGAAGCTGCAGCGGGTAATCCAAAATGGGAGTATCCATGAAGCTTAACGAACAAATGAGAGTTCTGGTTTCTATTGTGGAAAGTAGGTGCTGGAGGGAATTTTCACGTTGCAATTGGGATGAAGCTCATACGTGTCATCTAGTTTTTAACATTGGGATTTTTGATTTCTAGCATTTTGGTTTACTGTTTTGGCAGTGTCTTTGATGCAGTGGGTTTAAGTTTGATGCAGTGGGTTTAAGTTTTGTAATTGGGCAGGAGTACCCTTGTGCTCCATATAATAAAATTTTTTTTTGTTGATTAAAAAAAAAAAAATTATCTATAGTACATTTTATACAGTAGTATGATATAAATATATAATCAAATGGAAATGGGTGTAAGTGTCTATGGCAACGGTTCGAATAAAAAAGAAGAGGTAAAATTTTTCTTTAGTGCATGTGTTAAACTTCTCCTCTACTTTTAATGAAGAACCTCATGAAATTTGTCTTAAAACAGTGAAAATACGCTGACCAAATTTCTAATTAGTGTAGTAAAGTTAACTTATTTAGGATGATCATAAAGTGAAATATCTAATATATTTTTTGAAACTAATTTCTGTAAGAAAAAAATGCTAATATATTTTTTGAAACTAATTTCTGTAAGAAAAAAATGCTTACTTCCTCCCTTAAATCACCAGTCTCTCTCGATATGCAAAGAAGTTTTGCGAAATTCTCTAGCAATCTCTTTTTCATTTTTTTCTGAGGATTCATTTTTTACTTGGTTCCAAAGCATTGGTTTTTAATTAACTGTATATGCACTGCACCATAATTGTCATTTAGCTACACTCATAATTTTGTAGATATAGATGTCTATACTTATAATTTATTAATTTGTATGTATATGATTTAAATATACCTACATATTTATAAAAATTGTAAGAAATGAAAAACTTTATCTCCAAAAATAGCATAATGTAGGTAAAAAAAAAAAATTATACCTACAGTCAAAATGAATTATAGAAATAGCAATAATCTATACTTATGAATATTAAAATCTATAGCTATAGATCATTAAAGATAGTTTAACTTCATAAAATCTACTTTAAAATGCCTAAATTACCGTTTGTTAACCTTTTGGAAAAAAAATAAAATCTTATGTTGGCCTCAAAAATACCAGCTACAAATTTATGAGAGAAGCAAAATAAAAAAAAATAAAATTAACTGCTATAGTTGAAAGCACACTTAAAACTGTGAACAAAACCAATGATTGAAAAAAAAAAAAAAGCACCAACAACAAATTGAAAACAAAAGGTTAAATCTCTATCCTTGAACTATTGTATGGACTTTCAATTTGGTCGTTGAACTAAAAAAATCCCTAATTTGGTCCTGAACTATTGTATGGACCTTCAATTTGGTCCTTATTATTTATTAATTTATCTCGAGTTGGTCCTTCCGTACAAAAAACAACTGACGTGTTTCATTATTAACATGACATGTGATCGTTAAGTAACTGTTTTTTGCCATTAAATAATAGATACATCAGTTGTTTTTTGTATGAAAGGACCAACTTAGGGCTAAATCAATAAACAATAGGGACCAAATTGAAGATTCATACAATAATTCAAGGACCAAATTGAGGTTTTAATCAAAACAACCATTCTCTTCAAATCCCTATAAGAAGCAATAGCAAGCAAGAACACCAACAATTGGATTGAAAGGAAAAATTGAAATTTAATCGCTACCCCATCCTATCTTTCTACCTTGGTGATTTCTCAAGGTCCAATTGCTTCACCACAACAACAACCTACAAATTCCAAACTCATAGAGTAGTTTAAGGTAAACTCTAAATCGATAGCTAACCTCTCAGCTTTGGTTCTTGTGGGTTATTGTAATTTTTATATTATTGGATTTCGAGAGGGTTTTTCATGGTTATTCCAGCTTGAGGACACCAGAAAGCAAGTAGGAACCCACTTGCATATTGCAATTTCAGAACTTGAATCTTCGTATAAAATTCTGAGTAAATCTAAGAGTTTTGTGTAGTTTAAAAAAGAGGGTGAGAGAAAGGTGGGAATTGGGAAGTGGAATGATTTGCTTATGTATGATCATTGTGGATAATTAGGAATAATCATGTGTTATACATATATATTTGAAAGTAATATGATTGTTAGAGTTTTAGAGTACGTGTTGTACTCCAAATATCAATAAAAATCAACTTTTATTGTTAAAAATAAATTAATAACCATAATTTCAATACAAGTATTAATATATTATTTTGTATGTTTACTTGAATAAGTTGATTTTTTTTTTGTTTTTATTTGATATATATTTTATTCTTCTATTAGTATATAAGTAAAATTGTAGAATAAAAAATCCCACATCATCTAAAAATAAAAAGTAAATCTTATTAACACTCTATATAAGAAAAAAACTCTAAATCTCACATTGGTTAAAAATAAAAAGTATAGCCTATAAATACCTTATATAAGGAAATATTTAAAATATATTAGTTAAATTTTTAAAGTTTTGCAGTGCTAGACTTGGGTTGAATAATTTTATTCTTAGCTTTTAAACATATTTTATTATTATAATAGTTATTATTATTTAAAATTATTTGAATTAAATATATTTTTTAAAATAGTAATAATCAATTTTATATTAAAAATTGTATTGAAAATTTTTTAAATTTCATTTTCATTTTTGTTACAAATTATGATGTTGTTACATCATATATTTGGCAATGATAACTATCATTATAATATACAATTATTTTTCTAGATTTAGTGAGAATGAGAGAGAGTTAGAGAGAGAGAGAGAGTGCTAGGGTTTAGACAAGGCGTCCAGTAGCTAGGGACAGTGGTAATGGGCTCCGACGATGGCCTCTGGGTTTTGGCAAGCAGTATCTGGGTCAGGCGACTTCATTTTTCTTCTATGATTTTCTAGATGATAGTTCTGGGAAGGATCTGTGGTTTTGTTTTGAGTCATATGGGAAGGTTGCAGATGTTTATATTCCGATAAGGCGGGATTAGAGGGGGCGTCATTTTGGCTTTGTTCGCATGTCAGAGGTCTCAGATGTGACGGACATAGAGAGGAAATTGAATCAAATATGGCTGGGTTCCTACCATCTTAAGGTGAAGTTGGTAGACAATATGAAAAGAGGGAAGGAAGGGACAATGGTGAGACAAAAATAGAAGATTGAGAAGAAATGGATTAAGAGGGATAACAAAGTGAATCCAAAGGTGACTTATGCACAGGTGGTGGCAGGGAATATGGTTGCAATTGAGGATGGAAATTTTTCGGCTCATGACTTAAAGCAAGTTTCTGTACTAAAGGAGAAGGAGCCAACAAGGAAGAGGATTGTAGAAGATGGTATAAAGTCCAAAGACTCAGAAGTGGTGCCGGAGACAAGGCACGAAGGGTCATCTCAGACAGTATCAATCGGTAGGGCTGCAACGAGATGCCTTTCAAAACCTGAATTGGTTTTAAATTTTTCTCCTACTGAGGAGGAGGGGGCATGGTTGAAACGAAGTTGGGGGGCCATGGTGAGATCATTAGAGATGGTGAAGCAAATACAGAACAGATTCAATGTTGATGGGGTAAAGGTCACAGTGGCTTTGCTTGGGGTCGTCAGGTAGTTTTACTGGATAATTCAGAAGGGTGTCTTGAGGAGTTCATAAAGGAAAATAGAGAGTTGATAGATTATTGGTTTGAATGGATACAGCAAAGTAGCTTAACTACAATGCCTTTATTGAGTAGAATGGTGTGGCTTCGGTTTACAGGGGTTCCTTTGAAAGCATGGAGTGACAGATGCTTCATGGAGTTAGGGGCCTTATTTGGAGAGGTGATTCTTGTGGATGAGAATACAAAGGGTAAATCGTTTTTGTGTGAAGGTAGAGTCTTGATCTTGAGCAATGAAAAAACCAAAATTTCAACCATAGTTACTTTGCTGATTGATGGCCAAGTTTTTCCGGTAGCAGTGGAGGAGGAGTGGAGGATGGACCTAGATCGGTGGCTGGCTGGAGAGCGGCGAAATCCAGCAACAGAATCGATTCAGAAGATTCTAGCAACGGTTACAATAATTTTAATTTGAATGAGGATGGACTTTTGGGTGATGATGTCACTGAATTGGCCAAGGAAGTCGCAGCAACGGATCTTGATGTGCATGCATGTTTAAATGGGCAAGGAGTTTTGGCGGAAAAAGTCGGGTGAGTATATTAGGGAACATGGGCTTAGTGTGAGTGGGTCGGTTCTGGGTAGCTTGAGTGGGCCTAAAATAGTTGAGAATGTGGTGCAGCAGGCCGAAGGTGGCAAAATGGTGCCAGCTGGGACACAACATTGTCGGTGTGATCGAGAAAAGAAATACAAATCTGTGGATGAGATCTATGTTGGGGGCAGTGGTGTGAAGGAACCGAGAGATATAGAGCCTTCGTGGGTTACGGAGAGAACAAAGCTTAGAAGGGACAAAAGGGAAAGAGTACAGATGGTTGGGTCTCGGCAAGAAGTGCAGCTGGAAGACTTTGTGTCCAATGGGTGTATTCAACACTGAAACCATGTTATTCAGCAACAGCTGGAGTTGGATGAAGTGCGTAAACTATTTGAGATGGGGCAACGTCTAGGAGTTCAGTGTCAACAGAATGAAGTAGAGGTGCTCACAAGGTTGACAGCCTTAGAAAAGAGGGATGCTGTCAATTTAAAAGGTGATTACAGATTCGGTGCCTGTGGTGGGTGAGCAGTGAGGTATGCTTTTAATTTATGAAGATTATTTCTTTTAATGTGAGGGGGTTGGGTAGTATGTTGAAGAGAAAAGAGGTTCACAAATTAGTAAGAAAGGAGAAACCTGATTTCTTGTTCATACAAGAAACGAAATTAGAAGAGGTGGAGGTTTCTTTGTGTAGGATGTTGTGGATTTCTGAGGATTTTGATTGGGTAATACAAAAATCACAGGGAAATTCGAGGGGCTTATTATGCATATGGAATAAGCAGAGTTTTGTAAAAAAGAGGGTGTTTGAAGGAAAGGGTTTCATCGGGATTTCTGGTGAATAGGGTAGTCAACAGCTCAATTGTAATATGGTGAATGTGTATGCTCCTTGTGATAGAAAAAAGAAGGCTTTGTTGTGGGAGGAGATTAGGGGTTTAGTGTTGGAACAAGGTAGGAGGTGGCTTTTAGCAGGGGATTTTAACGCTGTTCGAAGTATAATAGAAAGGAAAGGGAGATTAGGGGAGACACAGGATATGGAAGAGTTTAATCGATTTGTGGAAGGGACTGGTCTAATTGATGTCAAATTGATGAATAAGAAGTTTACTTGGTATAGATCTGATGGAACCTCAATGAGTAGACTTGACAGGTTTCTGTTATCTACGAAGATGAGTACATTGGAAAGAGATTGGACCCAAGTTGGGGTACGACGCTCAATCTCAGACCACTGTGCTATTATTTTGAAATCAAGAAATGTTGATTGGGGTCCTAAGTCGTTTCGAGCTCTTGATGTATGGCAACAACACCAAGAGTTTAGAGATTTTGTGAAGGCTAAATGGGAAAATATGCAAATTGAAGGCTGGGCAGCTTTTAAGTGTCAAAAAAAGCTGAAATTATTAAGGCAGGAATGTAAAAGGTGGAACAAGGAGATGTTTGGAAATGTGGAGGTTAGGTTTGAGAGCTTGTTACAGCAAATTGAGAAGTTGGATAAAAAAAGTGAGGAGAATGATCTAAATGAGAATGAGGTGATGTTATGAAAGGAGTGTATTTAGGAAGTTTGGGACATATTACAGAAAAGAGAAGCGGTGTGGAAACAAAAATCGCGTGCCAATTGGGTTCGTCTTGGGGATGCAAATACGGCATTCTTTCATAGATGTGTGCATGCATGACGAGCACAGAATGTAATATCAGGCATCTTAAGTGAGGATGGGTGGGTTGAGGAACCTAAAATGGTAAAGGCAAAGGCAGTGGGGTATTTTTGTCAGTTATTCCAGAATGAACAGTGGAGTCATCCAATGATGGGTGGGATTTAATTTCGTAGAATTTCAGCTGAACAGAGGGAGTGGCTTGAAAGGCCTTTCTTAATAGAGGAGATTGAAGAAGGACTTCATAGTTGTGATGGGTGAAAGGCATCGAGACCAGATGGGTATAATGTTAATTTTATAAAGTTTGCTTGGAGCACATTGAAAGATGATTTTGTGAACTTTATGTGTGAATTTCATCAGCATGGGAGGTTAGTGAAAGGCTTAAATTCTTCATTTCTTGCATTAATTCCTAAGAAATTGAATCCACTTTAGTTTAAAGACTATAAGCCTATTAGTTTGCTGGGGTGTTTGTATAAATTGTTGGCTAAGGTTCTGGCAAATCGATTGAAAATGGTAATGTCAGATATTATCAGTGATTCTCAGTCAACTTTTGTTGGTGGTAGGCAGTTGGTGAATAGCGTGTTAATCTTGAATGAGGTTATGCATGAGGTAAAAAGAAGAAAGCAATAAAGCTTTATGTTTAAAGCTGATTTTGAGAAAGCTTACGATTGTGTGGATTGGGGTTTTCTTGATTGGATGATGGATAGCATGGGATTTGGGGATAAGTGGAGAAAATGGATTCGAGAATGTCTCTCAACCGCAAGGATTTCGGTGTTAATAAATGGAAGCCCAACGAAGGAATTCTCTGTATCCAAAGGCCTTCGTCAAGGTGATCCTTTGTCCCCTTTTCTATTTTTGTTGGTTGGAGAAGGTTTGTGTGAGTTGGTCAAAAAAGCTGAGTGTGTAGGGCTTTTGAGAGGTGTGGAGATTGGAAGGGGAGGGGTGGTGTTGTCGCTATTACAATTTGCAGATGACACAGTTTTCATAGGAACGACTGATGCAGAAAATGTTAGAGTTGTGAAAGCTATTTTGCTTTGGTTTGAATTGATCTCT